ACACACACACACAAAAATAGGAGTTTTAGTCTTTGAGACTCTTTTCATTAGAAATATTCAATGGAATCACACACACACACACGTCTTGTGCCATATGAGTTCTGAAAAACTGTAGCTAGAATTTGGTCTAAACATAATGTTTTTAGTATTAATGTCTAAAAACATATCAAATGTTGTAAAAAGGCATAGCTAAACCACAAGAAACAATGCCAAAAAATGCGTCTGTATGAGATAGCTTATGGCCCAAGAAACGATCTCGAGACGGAGGAGCTCTATCAAGATGTGTTTCGGTTGGGTGTATACAGCATTAGCGTAACCGCGTCGTTAATACAAGAGAAGTGTGTGTGTGTGGACTGTGGTGCGACGTCATAAATATATCGACCCCTCCTCTGTTCTGATTGATAGAGAACATACATAAATCTTCACATAGACCAGAAAAACCAAACCCGCTTCACATAGACCACTCCGTAAAGACACTTCAGATTGTACCAAGTGAAGATCGGTTCTTTGTAGTGGATCCAATCACTCTCTTCGTGTTCCCACCACGAATTAGCTCTTCTGGCTTTTCATGATCTCACTTCATATGTTTATATTATTATTAGCTGAGAGATGCATATGTGTATCCTTTTGTTGGATGGTTTGTTTATGATAGAGACCGATAGTCTGGAAACTTGACTATGCTAGTTTCAATTTAGTGTCTTCTTCTCTGTAGATTTTCTTTCGATTTTGCACACCTCATATTCAACTTCGTAGATGGTATTTTTGATAGACTGAGGCTTTTTAGAATTTTTTAATGGTGATCTCAAAGAACATTGGTTTGTTATTGGACATTGGTTTGTGGACAATTGACAACCCTCATGCCGGTTATGTACCAACAAATTGGGGTGTTGGTTTGTAAACCGGTGGAGTGTAAACCGGAGGTGAGAGAGTTGGCTTGTAAGCTGGTGGAGTGTAAACCGGAGTTGGAAGAGTTGGCTTAGTGTACACCGGTGTGATTTGTAAACCGGAGGAGATGAGGGAGTGTAGTATTCAGCGGTGGCTATGGTGGCCAAAGAGAGGAGGAGGCAAATGGCAAAGGAGGCGCGTGTGATCGCCATTGTAGAGCGTGTGGCTTGTCCTTTGCCTTGCCTTAAAGCTAGTTTGTGTTTGAAGTGGGATGAGGAAATTTCATCAAATGGGATCTTATAAGAGAAAAATGTTAAAAAGTATTACAAAATTTAATAATACTTAAAAAATGATATCTTCACATGTGAATAATCGAAAATCATGTTTGAGATTTTGTAATAGTGTGAATCACGATCAAAAACATGTTAGCCATTTACAAGTTACAACTATGCAGACGGTGCCGACCAAAGGAATTGAGAAATGAAAATGACGTTACCTGGGCTTGGCATATTTATGCTCTAATACGTGCAGGGAATATATAAAGCCATTAACCAATTTTGATTTTTAATTTTTTTTTTTTGAAAAAGCTTGGAAGTTCCGGATCTTTGATCCATAATCTCTCTCGGTGCTTGGATATGCCGTTGATAATACCGCATTTAAAACGTAAATCATCCCTCCCAAATGGAGTTGAACTAGTGACCTTGAACTTGAGAATTTTACTTTCAAGACCACTAAGACACCAACCAATTTTGATTTTACTATCATTATTAAGTGATCTTCTAAACTTCTCAAAACGAATCGGTCCCTTCTACTATATCAAAGTTTTACAAATGTCCGAATAATATATGAATACTAGTACTATTTAACTACATATTTTTTTTTTTTTGTGCATAGTCTTGACCGGAATTTAGAGCGTAATTTTTTTTTGAACTTGATTGATATAAGAAGAGCGGACAGCAAGAGCTACATACGTTTTAGGCTAAGATTCTAAATGAAATATATGTGCGGGAAAAATAGAAACTTACAGAAGAAAAGAGATAAGGCGTGTCAAAACAAATTTATAAAGTTTAGATCCTTAAAAAAAAATTGGTAGAAACTTTCCATTAATTTGCCGGATTCTTATGGTAATGTTAAATTACCTTCAGCGGAGAAAATTTGGGTGTTCACTTTCAGATAGCATAGTAATCAATCTGGAGATTGAAGCATTGACGTGTTATCAATTTTGTTTGATCGAGGTTAT